TATACCATTACATGGCTCAGCAGTTCTTTACTCACCCACGTACGGATCAGTCCTTTTGCTTCAGAGCACTGAGTAGTAGCACCGAAGCAATAGCAGCTGCTGCAGCCAACTGGGTTCCTGGCATCAAGTCCAAATTTGCCGGGCCGGCACCTGTCACAATGGATGCCTTCCACATTCACCTAAAGAAAGATGACAGTCCCTCTTGGTTCACAGTGGTCACTTTATGAGAAAAATCAATTTGAGGATGAATTATAGAGACACTTTTTTAAAAAAATTAAACAAATACATTGGGAGCCAGTAGGTGGCATGGTGGTTAAGGTTTTGGACTCCCACAAGGTGACATTGGTTTAAGCCCCAGATCTGACAGCTTGAGTCATGCTGGACACACATACATACATGCCCACCATCCTGGGAGGAGATGAGGGAGAAGGCATTGTGGCATGGCCATCCCCCAGGGGTGATTTCTCACTTTCCCTCTCTCTGTCTCTCTCTGAGTGAGTGTGTGTGCTCTGTAGCAAAAACTTAAACAAAAAAAAAAAATACCCCCAAATACATCGAAAGAACAATGATTCACATGTTAAATAGACAATATAGTTTTAACCTCATTGTTAGGATTTCATGGGTTTTTATGAAATCTTTTGTTTAGAAATACATGTACTCTGAAAGGTATTGTACATTGTTTTTAAAATTCAAGCAGCACAGTTCTTAAAATTCTGTTGCAGGCAATATAAAAGACTTGTGTGAATTTCAAAAGTAAAATAAACACATTAATTTCTAAACTGCAGTGCTATTCAAAGTTGCAACAGGTTGGTGGTTAAAATGTATGTTCATGTTATGATTCTAATACAATGAATACGTATACAAATAATTACAGTATGTAATAATGGGCCATTGGACTCTGTTTTGATTGGGGCCTTTGCTGGTAGGAGTTGCCATTTTTCTGACTTCTTAGTACTACATTCACAGCCGTTCCCCAGATTTTGCCTTCCTGTTTCCCCTGTCCCTCTTGCATGGACTTTATCCTATAAAGATACCTCTGACACAGTTTTAACTGTTTTCCCTAAGATTGACTTTTCAAAGATGTATAAGGGAAAAAAAATCTTTTTATCCTTTTTAATTGGCTCTCTTTCTACATCATTTAACAATATTAATGAGGGCTGAAATTTGCATACAGTCACTGTTTGTAACGCCAGCGTTTAGAGGTGATGAAATTTTACTAAACTTCCACAGCAGTAAATGTATTTTTCAGTGTACAGTGATTGTGATTAACTTTAGGAGAAATGGGCTTTCGTAAGCCTTATTATTTCACTGTGGTTTTCTGTGATGAAGCTTAAAAGAATAGTCTCCTTCCCACACCTCCCAAGACTATTCTTGTTTAAACAAAGCAAAAAGATAAAAAAAAATTCACTTTACAACTGAAAATACATCCTCTCTATAAATTACAAATGAAGTTGAGTTTGGGTTGGAAATAAGTTTTTGAAAAGCAGTACTTATCTGTATGCCAGTGAACAGATATCCATAAGGACTTTGTGTCTGGCGATGAGCTTCTTTCCTGTGTTTGCTTAATGAAGCAGGAATAATGAACACTGAACGAAGTTAAAACTGAGCTATGGATACATAATTGAGTGAGATTTTTCCTTGGTGCATGTCAGCAGCACGTACCTTACAAGTGCACTGCCCAGTTTGATCGCCACAGGAACATTTTTTAGTCTCCAAATCACAAGTCATAGCATCTGTCCCCGGCAGAAAGCAAGCACAAGGACTGCAGTGAGGGTAGTTCCAGTGACCTCGATTGCACTCTGTACATCTTGCACCAGAGAATTTTGGATGGCAGTTGCATTGGCCCGTATTTACATTGCACTGGAAATCCAAGGATCCTACCGTGCTACAGTTACAAGCCTAAAGAGGAGATAAAAAGAGCCACCATTAACACAGCTTCATCAGAAATATCTTAAATTTTTAATTTTAATGTTTCCAGCTTCCTTTAAACACATATTAATCATGTATCTATTATATACGTCATACAATTCTAGTTTAGTCACTTGGGAAACATCAGCAAACACAAACACTGAAATTGCTTCCTGCATTTATAAAAATATATGATTGCTTAGAAACCATAATGCTATGTGATTAAGAAAGAAAATATGTTTTCTATGTCCTTTTGTAGCAAAGAAGAACCCGTAGGTATGGGTTCTTTTCAAGCAGTTTAAACTTTGGACAAAGTCATTTTTGCATATTTTTTAGTTTTGATAGATTTTTGCAATAGGGTGTGGGCTCTTGACAGACAGAGAGAGAAATTGAGACAGAAATCACCTCCCATGATGAGTGGTCACACTGCAATCCCTTCTCCTCCATTCTCCTCTTGGGATATTGGGCATGCACGCACACATCTCTGGCATGAGTTTCAGGCTGTTGGGTCCAGGACTCAAACTGTAGGTCAACCATTTAGGAGTCCAGTGCCTTAACCACTGTGCCTCCTGCTGGCCCCTAGACAAAGTCATTTTACCTTGTCATCTTGTTATTTCAGTATTTACACTCTGTTGAGACATATCCAGTCTGGTGGAGTAATATGGGGAATATGTAAGTGTAACACTATGAAGTAAGCACTATCTGACAGAAGTGCAAAATGTAATGGGACCATCTAAGGAGCACCGAACCATGGAGAAGCTTGAGCAAAGTGATAAGTAGTACTTCCTGTTGTCTTCGGCACTTAGTTTTGCTGACAAAGGTGATTTGGGATATTTTGCTAATAACCTTTTTTTTCCCTCTTAGATGTACATGGAATGCTCTCTATACTTATATAATTCAACTTTTTAGTAGAATTTTTTAGAAGTTTGAGTCTTTTTTGGGACCAGCAGTTAGCGTAATGGCTATGTTGCTGGACTCCCACGTAGTCGACAGCGGTTCGAGTTCCGGACGTGGTGGCTTAAACTCACGCCGGGCGTGTGTGCGTGCATGTCCAAGATCCCGAGAGGAGAACAGAGGAGAAGGGATTGTGGCGAGGCCACCCCCCTGGGGGGTGATTTCTGGCTTTCTTTCTCTCTATCTCTCTGTCTCTCTCTGTCTGTCTGGCAAGTGCACGAGCCCTATAGCAAAAATCTTGTCTGTCTGTGCACGAGCCCTATAGCAAAAATCTCTCCCCCCAAAAAAGTTTGAGTCTTTTTCATTATTTTACTGAAATATGATTAGCTATTTCAGTTTGGAAACAATTGGTTTTAGGATTCATTCAGACTATTTCTTCTGATTTATGTTTGATTTTTACTTCTATTCTAATTTATCAACTTGCTTCTTTAGTATTGCTTATAATTTTTAAAAAATGTATTATTATTATTATTTTTTTATTTTGTCATAGGGCACATGCATGAGAGAGAGAAAGTGAGAAAGCAAGTCACCAGGTCTAGGACTTGGACCATGCTCATCCATGTAGGTGTCCAACGCCTTAATCACCATGCCACCTGTTGGCCCCAGTATTACTTATAACTCCTAAAGTACATTTCTCTTGTCTGTATACCAAATCTATAAAACTTAGTGTCTCTTGTAATCGCTTTCCTTATGATTTATCATCATTCCTCTTGTATTTACTACACAAACTTTTTCTCCATTTTATAACTCCTGTTATACACAGTGAAAGTTTTGTTGCATGTATATACCACCAATGCTTATTTTAATTACACTACTGTGATTTTAGCTTCTTTTGAATGATTTTCTTATTTTATCTTATTCATTTTCAATTTCTGCTCATTCACTTGTGTTTTTGCCTTAATGTTCTCCTTTTAAGCCTTTTTGCTCTTGATTTACAGAGCTTGTGTCTTCTTGCAATTTAATGAAAATGCCAACTGGATTTCTCAAATGTCATTTAGGATCTGAGAATAACCCATTTTCACAGGCCAGCTGTACCAATTATCAAACACTGTCTCTGAGCTCCAAATGCACCCTATTTGTGACACTGTAGTTAAACCCTGTAGATATTTCTCCAGGGCCAGGTGGTGGAATGTTAGTTAGACTTATTCAAAAGAGGACAGTAAAAGGCCCAGTAAGTCCATAGTGGCAGGCTCAAACGCTTCCATTCTGGGTTATGGTTCCTCATTAGTATCATCATCATTGTTTTATTTAGCACAGGAGCCCACAGACACAGAAAGAATCCAAGCTGTGCCCTCAGGCCACTTTCCCCCCACAGGCATTTTTCAGAAGCATTCTGGTTTACACATACATAACTAACAAGGCTGCTTCTAAGTAGTGTCAGCATGCCCATACCATCCAGAAATGGCAGGCAGCTTCTATAGGCCAGCACTTTCCCAGAAGCTCTGGCACATTTGTTTTTTATTTTTATCATCAGCAGGCTATGTGTTCCTGAGGTAACCACACCTTCCACTAGGACATCTGATTCTCAGTCCTTTGGGTGTGCAGAGAGGGCATGCTCCTCTCCTGATCATTACTTCCTTCACTATCCACTGTTCTCGATTCAACTTTTTAGTAGAATTTTTTAGAAGTTTGAGTCTTTTTTGGGACCAGCAGTTAGCGTAATGGCTATGTTGCTGGACTCCCACGTAGTCGACAGCGGTTCGAGTTCCGGACGTGGTGGCTTAAACTCACGCCGGGCGTGTGTGCGTGCATGTCCAAGATCCCGAGAGGAGAACAGAGGAGAAGGGATTGTGGCGAGGCCACCCCCCTGGGGGGTGATTTCTGGCTTTCTTTCTCTCTATCTCTCTGTCTCTCTCTGTCTGTCTGGCAAGTGCACGAGCCCTATAGCAAAAATCTCTCCCCCCAAAAAAGTTTGAGTCTTTTTCATTAATTTACTGAAATATGATTAGCTATTTCAGTTTGGAAACAATTGGTTTTAGGATTCATTCAGACTATTTCTTCTGATTTATGTTTGATTTTTACTTCTATTCTAATTTATCAACTTGCTTCTTTAGTATTGCTTATAATTTTTAAAAAATGTATTATTATTATTATTTTTTTATTTTGTCATAGGGCACATGCATGAGAGAGAGAAAGTGAGAAAGCAAGTCACCAGGTCTAGGACTTGGACCATGCTCATCCATGTAGGTGTCCAACGCCTTAATCACCATGCCACCTGTTGGCCCCAGTATTACTTATAACTCCTAAAGTACATTTCTCTTGTCTGTATACCAAATCTATAAAACTTAGTGTCTCTTGTAATCGCTTTCCTTATGATTTATCATCATTCCTCTTGTATTTACTGCACAAACTTTTTCTCCATTTTATAACTCCTGTTATACACAGTGAAAGTTTTGTTGCATGTATATACCACCAATGCTTATTTTAATTACACTACTGTGATTTTAGCTTCTTTTGAATGATTTTCTTATTTTATCTTATTCATTTTCAATTTCTGCTCATTCACTTGTGTTTTTGCCTTAATGTTCTCCTTTTAAGCCTTTTTGCTCTTGATTTACAGAGCTTGTGTCTTCTTGCAATTTAATGAAAATGCCAACTGGATTTCTCAAATGTCATTTAGGATCTGAGAATAACCCATTTTCACAGGCCAGCTGTACCAATTATCAAACACTGTCTCTGAGCTCCAAATGCACCCTATTTGTGACACTGTAGTTAAACCCTGTAGATATTTCTCCAGGGCCAGGTGGTGGAATGTTAGTTAGACTTATTCAAAAGAGGACAGTAAAAGGCCCAGTAAGTCCATAGTGGCAGGCTCAAACGCTTCCATTCTGGGTTATGGTTCCTCATTAGTATCATCATCATTGTTTTATTTAGCACAGGAGCCCACAGACACAGAAAGAATCCAAGCTGTGCCCTCAGGCCACTTTCCCCCCACAGGCATTTTTCAGAAGCATTCTGGTTTACACATACATAACTAACAAGGCTGCTTCTAAGTAGTGTCAGCATGCCCATACCATCCAGAAATGGCAGGCAGCTTCTATAGGCCAGCACTTTCCCAGAAGCTCTGGCACATTTGTTTTTTATTTTTATCATCAGCAGGCTATGTGTTCCTGAGGTAACCACACCTTCCACTAGGACATCTGATTCTCAGTCCTTTGGGTGTGCAGAGAGGGCATGCTCCTCTCCTGATCATTACTTCCTTCACTATCCACTGTTCTCGGTGAAGAAATAGTAGCCGCTTCTTTGTCCTTTTAGTCACTAACTACTACTTTATACCAGTTAACAATTCCTCATATTCTACTTACACTGCTGGAATAACTTGCATGGCTTCTGTCTCCCAAGTGGGGCCTGACTTGGTATCCAGGGGGGTCTCACTTCTTTTAGTGTGAGTGTGCCACCATACTTCATCTGTACATTATTTGTAACCCAGTTCTGTTGGGTGCCTTTTAAATGATCCCTTTCAGATCTACAGCTCTATGAAGATTCGCATGCATAGCAATTTGCCAAATTCCCAGATCCAAAGTCTGGCTGGACCTTACTCAGTGTATTTCACACTTCCATTACTTGGCTTAATTCTTATATCCAACATGACTAGGGATGTTCCTGCTTCTGATACTGCCAACAGTAGTTTACATATGGGGCTCCTATTTCTACGAGGTGATACTCAATCACTAGTTTTGCCTTTCTTGTCTCTTTTTGTCCTAATGTTTGGTGAAAATTCTTCCCAGATTGTGATTAAAATAATCAACACAATTTATTTTTGGTGTCTTTTACAGTTAAGTATTTTTCTATCTCTTCATTGCTCTGTGGTAAACAGGCTGCTATTGGGGAGCTGGCAGGTAGTGTCATGGTTAAAGGTGCTAGACTCCCACATGGCCAACCGCAGTTCGAGTCCTGGACCTGGTGGCTTGCTTTCTCACTTTCCCTCTCTTTCTCTCTTTTTATCAAATTTAAAAAAATGATAAATGAAGTTGAATAAAATAATTCTTTTAAAAAACGGGTGCTATAGGAACTGCTACTAGACCTTATATTAAGCC